GGCTTCTACTTCATCTTATTGCATGAACATATGAGTTTAAAGATGTCGGTGATCTCCATATTTCTGTGGAGTGGCATGAGGTAATCCATTGCTGAAGCAAAAAATCTTTGCAGCAACTATGTATTCTTCTGCCAACGAGGTTGTTAGGTGGAACTTTATTAGTGGCCTGACGTTTCGACGAGATCGTCTTCCTCAAAGGCCCAGTCCACCACCGCAAGAGTAGGAACAGCGCCACTCCAGGTTAGTTATGGTTAGTAACCATAACTAGTTAAATAAATAAATAAGCCATAACTAGTTAAATAAATAACCAGAGTTACTAACCATAACTAACCTGGAGTGGCGCTGTTCTACTCTTGCGGTGGTGGACTGGGCCTTTGAGGAAGACGATCTCGTCGAAACGTCAGGCCACTAATAAAGTTCCACCTAACAACCTCGTTGGCAGAAGAATAACATATAATTACAACAATGCCGAGGTTCTACGAAGAGAGAAGTTGGAGTTTGCAGCAACTTTTCAGAAAAAAAAACATGATTTTTTATTGTTTTCACCAACTCTAGCGGGTATGAGGAAAATGGTGAGCCACCGGCGATTCCAGAGCGCTGAATACACTTGCTGATGCAAGTGTTGATTATGCACATAAGATTAGTGAGCAAAATCAGCAAAATGATAATAAATTGATCTCTTGATCTCATTTACCAACACTGCAACGAAACCACCATAAAAATAGATTTCATTTGACTAATCTTCACAAAGAAAAATAAAACATAAAAACTCCATCGTAATTATTATCACAGACGTGCTTGGATTTATATCCTTTAATCGTTTTTTTCTTTTCATAGCCTTCCGATCACGGCACGAACTTATTAGTGTAGGTGACTTGGATTCCAGAGAATGGTGCTGCGTGTGTGTTTTCTTCCGTGAAAAGCGGATTACTGTATGCTAGCTGAAACAACACGGCGTTAGCGCCAAGTTGCCTACTATTAGAAAAAAAACGATCACTTTTGTGCCTTACCTCATTCGCAGGCTGCTCTTCTGCCGATGAACCTGTTGATGACCTGTCGTCATTGAACAGAGGATTGCTGAACTCCTTGCGCAGAACACCCGAACCCTTTCTGGGAAGGTTCCTGTATGAATGAGCTTCAACATTAGATTGGCGCAAGATGGATTCACATAAAAACGCACCTGGCACCCGCTAAAGTCGTAGTGAACGTAGAGAACCTATCCTTCATAGAATGGATGAATGGATGGATCTGCGGAAGAGTGGAGGAATTTGTCGAACTCGTCGTTCCACCAGACCCCTTACAGTTTTCGATGCTTTGCTGAATGTGATTGAATTGAAACCGTGAAAGCTCCAAGCCAAAGTCAGATTGTCCACAACCAAACTGCTGAGGGCAGTGATGTATTCAAGAGGGGCATCTTGGTGCAATGGTACTGCT